TGCAACATATCGAACATGTCAAACATATTCGACATTTGCTACATTGATCGGCATCACGGGTCCAGTTATATCACATGATTGCTGCGCAACATTTTTACTGCGTAACATCACTCCCCGCTCAAGTTTTCAACTCCCGTTGAAAATTTCTAACCAACTTTTGATATTCTTCATGACTTAATTGCTGAATCATGGTTGGTAGTCCTGGTAATTTGAACAACTCCGGGAAGCTCAATATATAATATTCAAATGGTTGAAGGTAATGTATCGATAATTACTGTGCATAATGACTTTGCAAAGTACCAGTCATTTTTTTTCTAGAAATTGGCCCATATAGAATAAATTTGTTAACAATAAGACTTTATTTCCGAAGTGTTTTGATCATTCAATTGCTTCCTTTAACACACAAAATTTTTCTTCATGGCCAATGTGTTTGCTGAATGATGGAGGATAAGGTATGATAACTGCTGGTTGGTCTTGATACAAGTATTTTTCATTACATGAATATTTATGGATCCGATCATTGGTAATACAGTTTCAAGCATTCTGAACTGATGGGATTAAAGTAAAAATGAAATTTCCAGAGAAGAAAGTAAAAGTTGCGAATCTATCCTAAAATCGTCTACTTGATTCTATCCATTTAATTAACAAGTCTTGTGGTCCACATACTGTAATTCATCCTCAAGATTTTTCGTTTTATTGTATCATACCTTCTTTATGGAGTGGTAACTTCAATTAGCCCAATCAATAACTGATGGCCATACCATTACATCATGATCTTAAGTGCACTACTTTTTTACGCTATGTGGGAAAAATTGCAATAATTTCTAGCAATAAAATCTCCAATTTCCCTATACTATATTACAAATATACTGTATCATGGCATTGTCTCTTATACACTATTTGCTTTTAGGGTAAGTCCTGTGTTGATTGAGAAAGTAAAAGTATTTCTGATAAAATTACAGGTGTCCAATGGATGATTGATGTAATAAGGTCAAAGACACAATCATTGTTGTTGCCAAATGGAATAGAAGATTTACACAAATTTTTGGTATCTTTCTTTTTATCAGAAAATCATTATGGTCTATCGTTATGAAGAAGGTTCGTAATAGCAGTAATATTTTCCTTTGTCCAATTTCTGTCCAAATTTTCAAGTAAAAATAGAGCATGAGATCGGAAAACTCAGACACATTATATCAATTAACTGCTGGTATTCTCTAAAAATGAAATTCTAAAGCAATGGCATCATCATGGGCGATACATTCTCAAATTCATCAATAAAACACTTAAAGACTATTATCAATCTCGTTGTTATAAAGAAGGATATCTTTCCAAAGTATAAATAGATAAATCTTTGCAATTTTGATGTATGATCCAACTTTAAGCCACTTGAATTACATTATGCTTGTTTAAAATTATAATAGCCAGTATACATTATATCTATAGCATCTAAAGGTAAAATTTCTTGCTTATAATTCTCAGGTGCATTAAACAATAAGTTAGATGGGAAATTACATATATTTGGTAATTCATGAGGAGAACCTTCTCTTTTTGAAATATAATATCCTAAGAGAATACTAAGAATAACCACTTTTCTTTAAGATTATTATTAATCCGAAATAATAAATTTGGAATTTGAAGTGTGTATCATTAGATCATTGTGAAGAGTTTATAAATGTTGATAATGTTAAATTTATGCTCTAAACTATTAAGAAAGTTCTATTTCTATCTTAATATCGGCAAATTCATTAATAATGGATTAAATCCACGAAAATAAATATCATTAAAAGTCATTAATCATAAAGTTTTAAATGGATGTAGGAAATTTATGGTAGGGTAAAGGGGTTTTAGCGATATTAAGGAGTTTGGGGTGGAGTAAGGAATGTTTCTGGCAGAAGGCACCAATTGTTATGAGTCAGTTCTTATGAGCTTAAAAATAAGCTATACATTAAAAAATGTTTATATTTAATAAAGCAGAAGGTAATTTTAAGGATCAACGTATATGTTAAAATCAATCCAATCAGATG